AAGGCCCTAAAAGCCAAAGAAATTTAGTTAGAGGAAACGGGCCACAAGGAACAGGCTGGCAGCTGCGCGCACACAGATAGTTTGTTCTCATCAGCCACTAGTCATTTACTCATGGAAGGAAACCAGGAGATGAGAAATGCAAGTGGTGCATAGCAACAGAAGTCTTGTGAAAAATTCCTGCATCTGGGAAAAGCAGAGGATTTCCACTGTGTCCCAGATGCATTAACAGGTTCTGCTGAAAGGACATTTTCCATGACTGAGACTGGAGAAAATAGACGTTGCACTTTTTTTTTTTTATTTTAAGAAAGTCGGTGTAAATCTGCAATGTCAAAAATCCAAACGTAAAGCCTCCCATTTCTTTCAAAATTAATGTATTACTTCAATTAGCGAACAGGCTTTTTAAAAAAATTATCTATGAAGTTCTGCCCTGACACAAAAATTCTCCAGGGATTCAGAACAGGATTAGCGGACGGAACCAGCAAAGAGCATTTCCCCATCTAGTGGACAAAATGTTCTATGGCGCTCCTTGGGAGCAATTTTGATTCTGTAGTCTTGTTTTGTATAACTCTTGTTTCATCAGTCCACAGCTGTTTGAATCCAGCTTTTTCCTGGGCTCCCAAAACAAAAAAAACCACACACTTGTGCTAGACCTTCAGAAGAAATAGGAAGCTTTATTTTACTGGGTCTGCTGATACAGGACATGATGTAGGATTTGTGGAGAAATATTCCACATTCAACAATCACAAACTGTCTTCCTTTTGAAAATAGTGGCGCGTTCTGCTCTAGAACAGCTTTTGAGAGCTATGGAGTGGAAGAGGGGAGCCATGAAATTGTTTCTCTTTCCTGTCTGCATGCAGGAAGTATCTTACTTCCTAGTAAACTTCCTAGTAGGCTTTGCAATAGGTGAATTAGAAACTGTGAATCTTATGTTACACTGTCTGCCAGGGAAAATAAGAAGTTTTGCATCAGCATGGGGTGCACCCTGATATTGTTTTACAGTAGTTGGCTCTATATTAAGTGTTTAGTTCTGTTTTGAGTTTCTTTCATTGAAGAGACAGGATAGAAAGAAATGATTAAAGGTGCTTCTCTCATTGTTTCCTGTAGCTTAAAAGATTTTCAGCATATTCCATTGGAAATTAAATTGCCACAGAAAGTTCTGAAGTTATTTTTCAATTCTTTTATTTCATATTCTTCATTTATGATGCAGCTACTATTACTGTTTGCATTAAGACTATATTTTAGCTGCTCAATTTGCACCAATCTGTCTCTTATAGACGGTTGTGAGTCAACTGAATATCAACATGCAGATCCAGGAAAGAAAATAGATTGAATACTTGAACATATAAGCAGGTTCTGATTCATAAATCTAATTTTTCAGTTTAAGACATTTTGGGATTTGTGGTGGTAATTCTTTTAATTCTAAGCAGCAGTCAGCCAATTAAAATTATTTGTGAAAGAAGCAGCTTTTTGTATTCTAGTATTCATGAAACATTGAATTTTAATTCAGAAAACATATTAAAAGTTATATCTAATAAGTTTTCATTTGCTGTGAACATTCAGGAAATTGCTTCAGTTATCTGAAGTGTAAGTATCAGATTTAAAGATCTCACTGCAGCTTGTTGTGCCCTGAATGCCAGTTTGGATTTAAAAAACAAATAAACTCTGAATACAATTTAAATAAGCAACTGATTGCTTCTTCCTGTAAAGACAAAAGAGTATCCAAAGTAAAACACAATCCCCCTCTTGGAAATGGCCCCTAGAACTGCTCCAAAAATTGCCACTAAACTATAATTTTTTTATTAGAAAGAAGAGACCAGCACTAAATAATTGGGGGATTTAATTTTGATTGTATTTTAAATTAGAAATAAATCTAGTTCTTTTCTTGGCTTCACTAGCTTCCTTGCTAGAAGTACACCCCTCCTGAGACCCTAAGAGGTTTGTACACATCGATATAGAGTAAAAAAATAAAGCTATGTAAGACCACAGCATTCACGAACCATAAAGAAAAATAATATTTCACTAATTTTCAGTGTTTATATCTTTGTGAGATCTTTAAATCTGATACTTACACTTCAGATAACTGAAGCAATTTCCTGAATGTTCACAGCAAATGAAAAGCAGCCGTATAAATGTTTACAGAGCTCACTATATACAAAATGATAAACAGTGAATGCATCCAAAGTTAACACTATACAAGAATATAGTGACTACACTCTGTTAGGAAGTAAAGATTCAGGCCAAGCCAGCATCAGGATTCCAAGGTGCAATTGGTACCAGATGTTTAGGAAAAGTCAGCCACTGGATGACTAGGGAGATTGCTTATTCTCTTCATTATTTTCTTTTTCCTTTAGCAGAACTAAATGTTTTTGATGTCCCTATTCCCCATCAACCACTTCAGATATCAAAAGGATTGGCAATTTGCAGAGGGTCAACCCACAAAGCTGAGGTGATGGAGTCTTTGACAGTTGAAAGTCATTTGCTATACTGTATGAATTTTTTACTTTTACCTAAAGAAGGGGAAACTTTTATGAAGTTAGTCCCAATTTGGGAAAATACCATTTGGTCAATCTACTTAGCAATATATTTACCGAGACCTGTTTATACACTACAGCAGGGGTGTCAAACTGGATTTCTTAAGTGGGCTGGATCAGCATTGTAGTTCTCCTCCGCGGGCCGGCCGTGGGGGGAGACTGTCCAGGCCAAAAACAGGGTGTGTGTGGGGGGGGAGCTCGCATGGCCCCCTGCACCTCATTTTGGTCAGCAAAGTGCTGCAGGCCATCCAGGCTGATGGAAGGGGTATGGGAGGCTCATGTGACCCCCTGTGCTGCGTTTTGGTGCCAGAGGCACGGCAGGCCTGTCCTTTGCTATTTCAAGGCCAGCCCCGCAGGCCAGATTTAAGCACCCCGTGGGTCGAATGTGGCCCGCAGGCCTTGAGTTTGACAACCCTGCACTACAGTAAAAGAATAAACCCTTATATTCACAATACGACAGTGAAATCATCTGGCATATGTTAACTTGATTGGAGACGCACAGTATTCCTTGATGCAAAACGATCAGTTGATTTAAATGTATTTTCTGCTCCTACTTAATTTACCGTGCACGAAAGGTGGAGGAGAAAACTTTTTTCCTTTCCACTCTTTCCATATAAATTAATAAATATGTGCTACATTTAAATGATTACACTTTTTTGCACAGTTAGCATATAGGCTAGCATCATGCCGAGAAAGGTTTGGTTCTCTGTAATAAATCACTCCAGAGCTTTAAATATTAAATGCATGGATTCTTTTCCACCACACTGCTGGTTTTTCATCTGCATTGCTGCTGATCGTTTTTTGAAGCAGAATGCCAGCTGCTCAGATTGGCAGCTCTTGCCAACAGCCACATATGCTAAATTATGCATCTCCAACAGGCATTCCTATGTTGGTGGCTTTTTCTACTATATTATACATCTAGCCGTAGATGTATTAGAGCTGGATAAAAGAGCAGTACAACAATAACAATGCAGCATCCAACCTCATGTGATATAATATCAGTTGTGAAAGGGCTCCTCCTCCTTCCCCTGCCTTCTTTTCTACCAATTACATCCATATCTTACTCCCACCCCTGGGCAAAGTATCAAGGCTGAGATTTCTGTATCAGCTATCTTTTCCTATATGGGCTTGGTTCTGGAAGGAAATTCTTCTCACAGAGTTAACATTTGATGACATTCCTTCTGGTTTCCCAAATGCCTCTCAGCATTGAGCAGGCAATTAAGGATGATTTATGGCTGCTTAGTTGCTCTTTAGCAGAGTCAATGGGGGAGGGGGGAGTAAGGGCAGACAGAGGGGCGATTCCCAAATAGTTGGCACAAACCACACTTATTTATGCATATGCATACACATGGTGTATATGAATGTATATGCCAATGGCTTGGAATTTTCTGCCTGTGCTTTCACCCTCTTGTTATGGTTTGCTGCTCTTTGCTGCTATTGCTTGTTGGGTAACAGATTCCTTCTTCAGAAAATTTGTTCAAATGTTTTATGGCTATTTTTCTTGGTTGACTATTGAATAATAATTTTATTATTATTCTGGAGAAAGGCCCCAAACTTAAGGTAAAAGCACATCCAGGTCTTCTCATCACAATGTTTCTGTAACACATCACAGACAGTGGCAGTTATTGAAAGAAATTATGTGCAAGAACTCAAAGTCAATTTGTAGGAATAGAGTTCTACAAAAATTATATCAGGACAGAACAGAACAGAACACTTTATTGGACAAGTGTGATTAGACACACAAGGAATTTGTCTCCGGTGCATTCGCTCTCAGGGTACATGCAAAAAAACAAGTAATCGTAATCATAATAACAAAGTAATAATAATCGTAATAATGATACCAATAATAGAAGGTAGTGGAACAGATGAAAAGGATAAAAGTAATATAGCTATACTACATAAGTAAATATACTTAGACATAAGACAGTATTGTGGGTATTAGGTGTTCAGCGGAATGATGGCATGAACAAAAAAAATTGTCTCTGTGTCTAATTGTTTTGGCATGCAAAGCCATTTTTTTTCTTGACAAAAAAATAACCACCAACCACAGAAGCAAACAATAGAAACTTGAAAATAAAATGGGTGCTCCTACAGATATTAGGAAGTTTCAAGGACATTAATTCCCACTGTGGCCATTTAAGCAGCTTTCAGACAAATGTATTTTATCTATTTGTCTAATAATCATGATTTATCTCTCATATTTTTTACAGAAAATGTACAGCAAATATCTGGACTACCCTGAGCTATAGACTGAATTTTCTTAACAATACTCAGAGGGAAAGCTTTAATGCCATCTTGCAAAGAAAATGGAATATTGCCTCAAGGACTCTACCAAAGGATTCAAAAGATTCTTCTGCAAAACTACAGAGCTGCCATATGACATCCAATGAGAAAGAACTGCAACCCAAACCATGAAAGGTTCTTTTGATTATCCTACTTAATCCCTATTCATAAAAGATTCTTGCTTACTGGTTCTCGGCCATCCATTGCTTCCATCCACAGCCTTCGATCTTCTTCAGAAAGTGCCTGCATTGTAATCACTCCTGGCCTGCAGAGATGAATGGAATGATGCTGTGAATAATAGGTTTAAAAATATGAAATAGGAAAAACAGAGGTGGTAAATCAGGTGAACTCAGCCAAAGCTACTACAGTGCATCTTTCCATGGTTCAGACTCAAAACTCAAGTGGGAGGAAATTATGTGCATTAAAAAAAAAACCAGAAAAAAATTAGAATTTCATTAATTTTTCTCTCCCTTCACTTTTAAAAAGGTGTGTTTGGGGGGGGGGGACGGGGGGACGGACACAAACATTCCAAGCAACATATTTCAAATATTCATGAAGGTAATTCAAATAAAAAAGAATGGTTGCAATAGGCTGCCAAAACCCAACAGAAACTTCATAAAACAGCAATCAAGAAAAATTCTCACTAATTAAATTGATGGGATTTGCATTTCTGCCCAAATCTAACCCAAAGGTGCTTTTTCAAGAAGAAACTGGACTTTCCTGTTTTTCTTTGAAGACGTTTCGCTTCTCATCCAAGAAACTTCTCCAGCTCTGACTGGATGGTGGGGGAATGGAAGGATTTGTATTCCTTGCAGACAGCTGGCCATTTGTATTCTTTGCACTACTCAGGCGACCCTGACGCAGTGGTGGGTTCCTCCTGGTTCGGCCCGGTTCTCCCGAGCCGGTAGCGGTGACGATATGATGTCACCGAACTGGTTCCGCCCCCCATCCCCCCACGTTATTCTTACCTTTTATTTGGCCCCACCCCCAATCTATTGCTGCCTCCTGAGTCTCAGCTGATGTCTAGAGGGAAAAAAACTGTTTAAACTCTTGCCTCGGGGCTTCAAAGGGCCGCCGTACAGCTGATCAGTGTTAAAAGAAAACAAATGAGTAGACCGGTGCCTGCAAAAATAAATGGGTAGATCGGTACAGCTCTGCAAGCAGTTAAAAGCCTGGTAGACCAGTACCTCTGCTAAATCCTAAATAATTGTCACATGACCATCAAGCCACACCCACAAAATAAGCCATGCCCACAGAACCGGTAGTAAAAAATTTTAGAACCCACCCCTGCCCTGACGAGACAGTTAAGTGGCCTCAACAACTCTCTAAAAGAATGCAAATGGCCAGCTGTCTGCAAGGAATATAAATGCCTCCATTCCCCACCCTCCAGTCAGAATTAAAGAAGCTTCTTGGATGACAAGCGAAATGTTTTCAAAGAAAAACAAGAAAGTCCAGTTACCTCTTGAAAAAGCACATTTGGGACAACCATGACTGGGATGACTGAGAATCTCCATAGACATCTGTCAAAATCTATCTTCATATTTATATAGATTATATCAGCCAGACCAGTATCGAAGCTTCTGATTTATCACTACAACCTTCCCTCAACTTGATGTGGCAATGTAACTAATCTACTGAGTCATCAGCAAAATCTTTTACCTACAAATATTTGGCTGTAACTATTGTAAGAATCTGTCCAATCAATGCATGGAAATGTCTAAAATGAAATGGGAAACTGTAATGAAGCACATTAATGTGCCTCACAGTTATAAGAAAATTAACATATATCACGGAAAGTGACATTTGGCCTCTGCCTCAACAGCAATGGAGAATAAAAATTCAATTTTTAATCATATAAATTTAGAAACTGCCAATCAGAGAATTACAATTATGTCCACAAAAAAAGCTCACAGAGTTTATCCAGCAAAGGATACAAGCCATTTCAGCTTGCATGACATACAGATGTAAATTATTCAGATTTAATAGATGTTATTTTCACTAATCTCTTTCTATAATAACCTGAAAACTATAGAAATAGCATTCTGAAAAAATATTTGTCTCAAAAAACACACTAATTTATAGCTTATCAGGAGGACTGTGTTGAAAATTAAATTTGTCAGTGTTAGTTTGCTTTTTCATATGGGCTATTTTTTCATAGAGATTTAGCTCACTCTTGGGCCTAATCTAGCATGATCCTTCTCTTAAATTAAAGCAGAAAAAATCTCTGTTGAATGTCCTAGTTTAACAAACCTGTTTTTAACTGAAGCTAAGCAGAGACAGAAGGAACAATGCATTTTTGTTCTTATGATTAAAAATAAAGAGGTTGAAGGACCCAGCAGCTTTCTCTCTTTTAATCCATACTTTGTTTTCATTATACTGTTTCTACAAAAAAATTTAATTAAAAAAAAAAAAAAAAGGCATGGGTTGGAAATCTTGTTAATACACAAGTTACACCAAGCAATAAACCTAGTGCTAAACAGGGCTCATTCTAGAATAGGACAAATCAAGCATAACAGATAGCACAAACAGGTAACTGTAACTGTATTGAAGTCTGGGATTACATTCTTAGAAAATTTGGCAACGTTTTTGAATAGAGTCAAAGAGTTGCTTGGCATTTGCCTATTTAGGCAGCCATATAAAGTAACTGAGTGAATGAGTGAAATCAGACTTCTCCTTTTGTCTGAAAAAGACTTCCACTATGTGTTTATTTCTTTCAGCCAGGCATTATGCTAATTCTACAAAACAAAAATGGAAATGTTAGCCTTCACCATGCTAGATGCTAAACGTGCTTATACCAAAGGTGCTTTTTCAGGAGGCAACTGGATTTTCTTGATTTTTCTTTTGAAGACATTTCACTTCTCATCCAAGAAGCTTCTTCAGCTCTGACAGGATAGTGGGAAATGGAAGGAAGACACTATCCAGTCAGAGCTGAGGAAGCTTCTTGGATGAAAAGCAAAACGTCTTTAAAAGAAAAAACAAGAAAGTCTAGTTGCCTCCTGAAAAAGCATCTTTGGGACAACCATGACGACTGAGATTCTCTACAGACTTTTAAACTTCTTATAGCATTGTAGAAGAAAGGGTTTGGAGTGTTTATTATATACATAAAAGACAGTAACCAAGTGGGAGCCTCCCACTCCCTCCTATCTTACAAAAAAAATATATCCAGAGACACTGGTTTACAACCCAAGAAATACTACTATACCATCTTTTATTTTTTTTAAAGCCTAAATGATTGGAACTAAGCATTCCTTTAAAAAGCAGCATCCTCATCCAAATCTGGTGTTTTTCTTCTTTTTATGAAAACAGCATGAGCTTTTGAATTCGCATTTAGACATATTCTCCAAATGGGTGGCCTCCAGAAATTTTGCAGTATTGCTGTATATACAGGTGGTCCTCAACCTGTGATATAATTGAGCCCAAAAATTCTGTTGTTAAGTGAGGCATTTGTTAAATGAGTTTTGGCTTGTTTTGCGACCTTTGTTGCCACAGTTGTTAAGTGTATCACTGTAGTTGTTTGGTCGATAGTACGGTTGTTAAGTGAAACTGGTTTCCCCATTGACTTTGCTTGTCAGAAGGTCGCAAAATGGGATCACATGACCCCGGATACTGCAACTGAATTTTGATCAGGTGACCATGGGGATGCTGCAACTGTCGTTAAGTGTGAAAAAAGATCACAAGTCACTTTTTCAGTGCTGTTGTAATTTTGAACAGTCACTAAATGAACTGTTGTAAATCAAGGACTACTTGCACTCCAAAGTAACATAACCTAGGAATAATGCATCTCTAAATCGTATCTGTCTTGGGTCACTGGGTAGGAAAAGATGCAACTTCCATCTTGGCTGCAACTATAAAAGAAGGAAGAGAAGGGCAGAGCCTACATGAGATATTCCTTTAATTAATACTACCAGTGGTGGGTTGCCCCCAGTTCGCACTGGTTCTATAGAACCAGTATTAAAAATGGCAGGAGGCTCCGCCCACCGACCCCGACATCATCGCATGTGCACGGCCCCATTGCGAACCGGTAGTAAAGGTAAGTAGAACCCACCCCTGAATACTACCTATACTTTCTGAATGCTAGAAACTATAAGAGAGAAACGCAAAGAAGTACAAGTATCATTCAACTGGCTTTTGTGCTGTGGGAAATTTTTTAAGTTATACCAAATAATTTCTTAGCTAGCTACAAGTGTACTATATTACATTTATACTTAATTAGAAACCAGTGTTTTCTTTCTCTATTATCCAAAATCTATCTTTATGATCCAGCACTGTTCTGACTATTCACCAATCAAGTTCCCTATTCATAAGGAGCAAGCTACCTTTGGGGATCGCCTCTCTACAAAAGAGCGAAAAATGGAGGGAGAGTATAAGCTTTAAAGTTACTCAGCATTAGTCATAACATGGTAATTTCAAGATTTTATTCATTTATAAAGGTCACTGGAAATGTGACACAGCACAAGAACAAGTACAGGTTGTATTGCATTTGACCAGCACAGAGCTCATCTGAGAGAAAGAGAAAAATGAATATATAAACAAAGCTGAAACACTGCAGGTAAGAGCGGTAAAAAATAAAAAATAACCTGCTGTGTCAACACAATCAGTACCTACGGGCAATGCAGCTGCCTCATGATACACTATGATTTTGATTTTTTTTTAAATGAAGAAGCAAAACTTTAAGACCAAAAAGAACTATGAACCATGAAGATAAACAGTACTCTAGAAAGAAAACCAAGAGCTAACAAAGAAATTAGAAAAACCCTTAGAGGAGCTTTAAAGAGAAATATATTTTGAATTTCTAGATTGTTCTATCCAGAATGACATTTGTACAAATAAAAGCCCTCTTTTAGGAATAGCATTCTTATTATAACCAACAATATTATTATAAATGATGTTTGAAAAATATTTTCTTAACTTTTGAATTTTTAAAAAAATCCTTTTTCAATTGGGGGGGGAGGGGATGTCAAAGCAATCTCCCATATTTTTCCATAGATCTGAATTATCTTCATGGCCAGTTCTTCATAACTTGTTGAGAGTTTAAAGAAATTCTGTGCCGCAAAGAATCCAATATGATTTATCACTATAATTGTGATTCTTGGGTAGGAAGGCAAAAGATGCTTTGGAGCTGTGAAGAGCAGCCACAGCATCCAACATAAGGCACTGGTGCTGTAAGATGTTGTCTCTATATATCCCAAAGCACCTTTTGCATTAAATCCAAAGTGTTGCACAAGTCAGGTTCAGACTCCAGATTGTTCTTCCAGAATTCTTCCC